CGAGTTTGTGCATCCTGCACAAACACAAGCTCACCATGATTACAAATGGTGAAATGCAATGTAAAATTACCGAAAAAATACCAGCTCACTAAATCACAACCGCTCAAACCAACTTCAAACTACTACCGCGGATTGGGCAGAGAACGAGTCCGAGAAAGTTGCTCCCCCATGTGACGTAATATGACGCGTTTGACGTTAAAAAAAAGTAGCAGAGCTCAAAACGGCTCCTTTTCCTCTGAATTCCTGCCCTTATGTCTTGTAAAACATATCAAATCCTGCATTAACATTTTTAATTGTAATTTTCAGGCAAGGTTAAGCATAAATGTAGTAAAAAAAAAAACCTGCAAGTTGCTCTTTAACCTATTCGGGTGGCCCACACATCCACCCCCCCCCTCAAATAAGAAAATACATGCGAGTTCATGGCTACTGTAGACAACGTTTTTGTTGCTCTGTGTTGCGTTGTTAACCGGAGTTGAGGATCTGTGGGGTTTATTGTCCCGAAAATATCATTTAAAATGTACAATTCAGGCATTTAGCAGATGCCTTATTCCAAAGCGACTTACAATGACCAACTACAGGGACATTCTCCCTGGAGTAACTGAGGGCTAAGTGCCTTATACTCAAGAGCACACTAGTAGTGGTGTTCCAGGCGGGATTTGAACTAGCAACCGTCCGATCATCAGCCCACCTCACTATCCATTACACCACCAAAATAAAAATAGAGAGAATAATTATCTTCAATTTGTCGCGGACGATATTTAATTGTGCCGGCCCGCCAGGAATAAATCAATGTATGGGAAACACTGTCTTTATTCAAAGGCTTTCTTATAATTTCTACTCTAATTCATGATCTTATTTGTGTTCCTTCTTTGTTGTGTTGTATGCCTTTGTTTTCAAGAGCCATACAATAAGGTTTATTATTCTTTATGTTCCATCCATAGGTAAATTCCTGCCAATGAAAACGATGTTGGGTCCCAGATACGATGACCAAGTCCCAGAGGAGAACAGATTCCACCCGGGCATGCTGTCCAACTTTTTAAAAAGTCTAAAAGTAAGTAACTCTGTGAAGACTTGATTCCTAAGTGACATTTTAAATTAAAAAAAGCAACAACACAACTAATGAGTCTTTTTTGTGTGTTATTCTCTCTAGGTGAAAATGGGTTTGCTTGTGGATTTGACGAACACTACGCGTTTTTATGACCGCAACGACATTGAAAAAGAAGGCATCAAATATATGAAGCTTCCGTGTCGAGGGTACGAGTGAATTCCCTGTCATGCGTTAAACTAATTGTGAGTTGTTGTTGTTTATGTAGTGCTATTGTGCTAAGACGAGTGTCATTCTGTTTGGTTTTAGCCATGGAGAATCCCCTTCGACAGAGACTACTACATCTTTCATCAATATCTGTGAACGCTTCATCGAGAAGAATCCTACCGAGATAATAGGTAAGTAAACAAATCTATAACTCATTATTTGTTCTCGCACACGATTTGTATTTTCTTCAATAGTCATAGATATGACATTGTAGCATCAAATCGATGTTTAGCATATGTATAAATGCGAGTTTTCTGTCAGATTTCAAAAATAAAAGCAGAAGTTTTCATTTCTTTGAGCCATTTCTTAGCTCTTTTAACCTTTTAATTAGCAGTCAATTTAGTAGTATTAAGGTTAGTAGTAGAAAGTATATTTGATTATATACAGTATTTGGTTCCCTCTCTGACTCATATAGTGACATTCTGCCTTCTTTCATTGAACGATTGATTAAATGATTGCATTAGTTTTCCATGTTGTTTATGTCAAAGCCTCTTTGCATGTCTCTGGTTTTTTTAACCTATATCAATGTGACTGAAATCCATGAAGTGTGATATTTAGGGCTGTCAAGTTAATGCGTTAATAAAATGTTTTTTAATGCTACTAATTATTTTAACATGTGATTAACGCATGTGTATTTGTCCTCGGCCCGCCCCGTCGTTTCAGAGCCCAAAGGCTTGATGTTGTTGTTGTTGATGTTGTTGTTGTTGTTAGATGGTGGGAGATTCTAGCGAGAGATATGGATAAAGCTTAACATTGTGGAGGACGAGGGGCTGCGTTAGATCATTCGGATCACATCCAACGTGTCGACCGCACATCACATTATTTTGACCCACAGTGGGATCTTCAGTCTCATGCTTTGACTGTTATGAAGACAGAGGAGCGGCATTTCGTCGACAACTGTAAACAGGCTTGTCTGTTTGAGCGACTGGCTCAGTGCAGAGAAGTACACAGGGTGGG